CAAACGAGGGGAAGAGAATCCATTCTTACGGTGCGTGGAATGAAACGCATTTCACGAGAGCCAAGCAAATCCAGACGGTATGTGGTCTTGATGAAGAGGAAGATGCTTAGGGGCGCAATAGGCCAACGAGTAACCACCTGACAGTTCAAGCCAGAGTTCTTCACCACATGCTTTCCTACAACATTCTGCCAAAGGGTGGACATCGGGATACAGTCACCTACTTCGACATGGAGCTCCTCACCAACCTACTGTTAAACGAGAAGGTGAACTTGCCATACTTGATCTTTAACCACATGCTTACTACTGCAGAGAGTTCAAATAGGAATCTTCCCTATGGGATGATCCTCACTGTGCTATTTGAGCATTTTAATGTGAATTTAAGTGAAGAGGTGGGGTTAAGAATCTCAAGGCAGGAGTTCTATACTGTTTCATCTCTGAAAAAGATGGGCTTTGAGCTGCGTAATGGTGAGTATGTCAGAATAAACAATGCTCATGGTGGTGATGATGATAATGAGGATGATGATGGTGATGAAGGAGCTCGAGACGAGCCAATGGCGGAGGCATAGAGTTCAACTCCACCGATCACCTTAGAGCGTGTGTGGGAGCGCATGGATGGCATGTACGAGTACATGGCCAGATGTCCACCCAGATGACTGGCATGTACGACTACATGGGGAAAATGACCGCCCAGATGAGCACAATGCAGGTGATCGTGCTAGCACCATCATGCTAGCACCACCAATGAAGAAAATGTGGATGAGGGAGAGGGGGGAGATGAGTAGGAGAGAGGAGATTTTAGATTGTGTGTTTTAGTGGTCAAAACGATTGTTGATTGTTATTCTGTTGTTTTTTTAGTTTTATTTTTATGTGTGAACAATTATGATTTCTGTTTTATTGTATTTCTTGTTAGTTTGTTTAGTTGTTATGCTATGAATTGATGAGTCCTTGTTATCATTATTTATGACTAATTATGATGGTTTGAAACATAATTTATACGATCAAAAGAACCACACAAATCGACATACATAAGCAAAAAAGACACGGGGCATAGGTTGACTTTCTTGTATTCGGTCGACCTCGTACCGGATTTGGTCGACCGCGAAACCAACACTTGATCTTCATTTTATGTCAAATGATTGGACACTTTGATAGAACACTTATCTTCTATCTGGTCGACCTCTTTCCTTATCCGGTCGACCATTTTGTTAATGACTGCCATCAAGTGGTCGACCTATATACCTTAGGTGGTCGACCATGTTGTTTCTGACGCCAACGAAATGGCCGACCGAGGTTTTATTCTGGTCGACCAAAAATAACAACTTAAACTAAGTGCGGTCGACCAGGTGGTCGTTGAGGTCGACCGCAATGCTTTCTCGTGCTGCCCAAATTAGTCAATTCGGTCGACCGCCTTCAAGAATAGGTCGACCAAAAAGTGCATGTCACCGTGACATGCATGTCCTAGTAGGCATACCCCTAAAGCTTATATTGCTCTTCTGAATAACATAATCTCAATTATTAACATTTTTCATATTGAGGATACTACCCAATCAATTACTAATATTTTCATATTTCGGATCCAACTCGAGTTGTGAATACTACCAAATATGATTTTGTTGTCTTGGATAATCAAGAAGACATGATTTTTTAGAATCATTGTTGAAAAACTATTAAAAATAGTTGAAGAATGATACCTTCTCTCCCTCATGTCTTATTAAATGAAGGAATGAAGTATTTTTTTTTTTAAGGAAGAAGAAAGAATGAAGTTAATTTCCACACTATAACCAAACTAACAATTTTGAACATAATCATTGATGGGAAAAAAAAGGAATCTCCCACCGGCAGACGCACTAAATTTACGAACAAGGCTTGGCCTAGTGGTAATACCACTAGCCTAGAATCTGGAGGTCTCAGTTTCGAATCTCTTAAGTAGTACCTTAATCACAAAATGAAACCTATATCACCCTTATAAAAAAATTGAATCTCCAACAACATTTGCAACTATAATAAGGCAAATTCTTTTGTTGTGAAGCACCTGTGGATAATGAATATAGTGGAGTTGATGGTTAATAGGTGATACCGATTATTTTGAACACCTACAAGCTTATTTTGGATAAAAATTTACAAAGATGGCTCTGATTACAATGTAATTAATTTTAATGCTGCATCTACATTTTCTGTTTTCCAGGAATTGAATAATTTGAATTTCTTAACGGTAAAAATTAAGAAATTAGCTTGCTATTTGGTAAAATTGATATCGTTATTTGTTAATTTGCATATAATCGTGGCAGAAATATAAGAGAAGTGGAGAGTTACTGAAATTTAAACTTTGAAACTTTGTTAGTTATTGTCATCATATATTGCAACCGGCCAACAGGCCGGAGTACAATCTAGTTTACTATAATCGCCCTAAAATAAAACATAAAATTACTAAATTAACCTTAATTAACTAATAGAATTTCTTCGGGCGTGGCCCTACTACGTGCACTCCAAAAACCACCCTTGACACCAAAAACAGAAATCACTTCGGCGCCGACCGCTCCAAACACCCATCCTCGATCCTGCCGCCGTCGGACTGGTCTGTTAGCGGAGAAGAACTAGGTCAGTGAAATCAATCGAGAATGGAATGGTGAGGTTGATGGTGGTGTAGACACCACATTTTGTCCGGGGGCACACACTATACTTAAAACTCGAAAGGAGAAAATTGATATTGATAAATTAAAAAAAAAAAAAGATGATTGGGAAGATTCAGTTGAGATTGTAGTGGCAAGTCAAGTACTTCCAAGTTTACCTAATATAATTCTAATATCAATTTGGTTGAAACTAGCAGTGCCGAGTTGGTGAACACTAGTAATCACCTAGTTGTTTAGGCTATTAAGATTGGATTTGTTAGGATTAGCAGTAGCAAATCTTAACATCAATTCCATGTTGAGCTATAAGTTTGTTAAGTTTTGTTTCAATTGGACAAAAGAAATTACTATAGTGGATTCAACGGGAAAAAAAATGACTATAGTGCAAAGTTTGTTGCTCGATCGAGTTTGGATTTGGGCATGATAGATTAAATGTGACAAATTGAACGAGGCAAAACAAAGACTTTATTATCAAATTCGATACATCGTACATCACATGAGTAAACCTCTAAATAAAGCAATGACTAAAATTAATTACAATTAATTACAAGGACTATTGCGAGCTCTACAAAAAGAGGAGGAAATTGAAGTCATTGACCCTTTGCTACTTGCTCTAGGCACAAACAAAACCTACAACCTGCAAAAAAGAAGAAAATTATTAGAAGCCCAAACATAAACTAAACCCAATTAAGGCCCACAAAGTTCAGCCCAATCCGGTCAACAAGGGTCAACCCGGTTAACCATTTTCCTACTCCATATCCTATCCTATCCTATCCTATCATATCCCATCCCAAAGAGTCAACAAAAAAAAGCATGCTGCTTGCCTTCTGAAAATCGGCCACCTCTTCAAAGACCACTAAGGACTCACCACGCACTACTTGTAAACAGAAACTGCAAATAGAGAGGAAGCAGTTAAAGTAAAACCCAATTGAGGCACAAAAATTGCTGCTGCCTCTTCAAAATGGCAGGCGCCACCTCTCAAAAGGCCAACCAACACTTGCCAACACAAATAAGATGGACAGCAGAAATTGCCACCGTCCTAGAGAAGTAGGAGGGCAGCCACCTCTCAAATCCATCACACATACCAACACAGAAGAAACAATTAACAATGGCGGAAAGAACAATACTTTTTTTTTTTACGAAAAGGAAAGAACAATACAAAAAGAGCTTTCTTACAACAAAGAGAGGGGCTTCGGGGGCTGGAAATCCAAAAAAAAAAGAGGGAAAGGACAAAAAGAAAGATAGGAGCTTGAGAGGAGAATAGAGAAGCAGATCAATATAAGATAAGGGAGGTAACAGCAGCAAGCAGAAGACGAGGAAAAAGGCATCAAGCATCAAGCAAAAACCAAACAAGGGAAATCAAGCTAGAAGTTCCAGGTTGGTGATTCTCAAACCCTAATTAAAACACTCTCTATTTCCTTATGCTAATAATAATCATTCACCTTGACAAAACAAACATGGCATGAAGTAATGATAGAAAGCTTTCATAATATCTCAACAAGTAGGTGAATGATTAAAGCTTTACTAATGCGATTACATACTTGCTTTCATTCATATGAACTTATCATCTCATTTAATTAGAGCAATTAGAAGTAAGATCTAATTGATTCATTTTCATTTGATTGATTCATTTTCATTTGATTGCATCTGTTTCTATTAAATCTGATCATGTTCATTATTACAAAGATAATATTATATCTAAATCTCAAATAAAGAACCCACAGACACCATGAGACTTGGTAGTGATTTCTAGTTCAGTCAACTAACAAATCAATAGACCATGAGAAAATCAGTTAATCTTAAACTAGTAAAAGCTGAAGTTTGAGATCTGGTCATGAGCAGAGGCTGTGATTAGGTTGCTCTAAGATTCCTTTCAACTGATAAACGGGTTAATTGCAAGGATGGTCACTGGATTTACTAAAACCGTTCATGTTTGGTCACTGCAAATATTTAATTCCATTCATGGTCACTAAAATTAGTACAATAGTTCAAGTTTGGTCACTCTCCGTTAGTCTCCGTTAGTTTTTGCTGATGTGGCAGTCAACTATTATAGTTGACCGTTAAATGAGTGACGTGGCCAATAAAAAAATAATAAAATATAAATATTTACAATTTCCACCTCATTTTACAACTATTAAAAATAAATAAAAACTTACCTCCTCCAAACTCGCTTACACCATCTCTCTCCCCCGGAAACCTTCCTCCGATCATCCAATCACAATTTACAGCATAGATTGATGAGCAAGAGGAAGATTCCGAGCAGCAACCCCACCAAAACCCATTTCCACAGCCGAATATCGCCTTCATAGTAAAAATCGTCCAGCGCAGGAGGAACGCCGAACGACACTAGCGAGTCATCGAACGTGGGGAAAATTAGTTGTTCGTCGCCGTGACGTTGTTGCTGCTGGTCGAATTCGTCGAACCCTTGCCACGACGAGATCGAGAAGATGTCGACAATGCGACGCTCAGTAGGATCAACACTCTGATGAACATAATCATAATAGTTGTTGTCGAGAGGCTGGAACTGCGGCGGTAACGGGAGAGGATTTGGGTGTTCGGGAGCGGAGAATGTGGCGGCGGCGGCGATTCTTTGGATGGATTTGGGGGACATGGGTGGGTTGGTGAAGGTGTTGCGGTGGTGGTGGGAGTAGGAGGAGATGGGGAAGTTGAGATTTGGCGCGGCGGAGGCGGAGCCCTTGAGTCACAAGAGCGCGGCGTCATAGGCCGGGGCGGCGGCTTCGGCGGTGGAATAGGAGCCCAGCCATATCCTCGTCTTCTGGTTCAGCGCCAGTATCTCCGACACCCACGAGCCCCAGGTTCGCATTCTCACTCCCTTTTTATTTTTATTTTTAATAGTTGTAAAATGAGGTGAAAATTGTAAATATTTAAAAAAAAATTTATTGGCCACGTCACTCATTTAACGGTCAACTATAACAGTTGACTGCCACATCAGCAAAAACTAACGGAGACTAACGGAGAGTGACCAAACTTGAACTATTGAACTAATCTTAGTGACCATGAATGGAATTAAATATTTGCAGTGACCAAACATGAACGGTTTTAGTAAACCCAGTGACCATCCTTGCAATTAACCCACCGATAAACCTTAGCTAAATCCTCTAAATTGTTTTTTTCTTTAAACATATCCAAATCCAACAAAAATCAACATATCAGATATACGAACCGATAACTGTTTTTGAAAATCAACCCATAAAACACAGGTAGTGGCTGTGATTTTCGGTTATCTCAATCGTTTTATACTTCAAAAACTAGTTCCCTTTTTCTTCAAAACCAAAATCACAAGCCGTGGATATGATTTTCGGTTGTCTCAATTGATCAAAAAAATCAAAAAAAACAAACGATTTACCAAGTATTACCATAAAAACAATTCACTAGCAGATTAAGGAGTCGACTCCTAGCTACTTAGAACCCAATCTTCTAAAGAGAAGGCAGACATAAATCTCGAGTTGTACAGGGGATATCACCTAAATCTCTTCGTTTAGTCACAGCAAAGGGGAGGGTTCGAGAGGTTCTGGTGTTTCCTCTGGCTGGTGGCAGTTGTTTCTGCGCCGGCGGTGGCACCGCTCCCTCCTCCACGTACCCACATACCAAAATCAAAATAAAGCACCAGAATTAAGAATAAGAAATCAAATACACAAGCCACAAATTCAGAAGCATACCTACCAAAAATATCAGTCGACGGACTGGTTCTCTACCTGCGGCGAGACCCTGAGTCGTTGTCGGCTCTGGCCACCATTTCACTCATCGTCGCTTTCGCCGGCGGCGGACCTCTTCTTGTTGTCCATATCCGAAACCCCACAACACGAAAGAGGTTAGAATCTCATTCAAAAACCCAGAAACAAAAGAAAATAGACTTGCATGCCATGATCTTACCTAGATCGAAGGTCCCCCGGTCGATTTTCAGCGACCTACGGCGGATTGAGGATAGTAAGAGTCGGCGGCTAGAGGAGAAGCTCTGAGGAGTCTCTTCAGTCGGGTCGTCTTTGCTGGCGGCGACAAGAGAAGAGGAGAAGGGTTTCGAAGGTCGATTGATTTCAATTGCTGGGTAGGAAAAGAGAGTAGGATAGGGATACGAGAGAGAGAAGGGTTGCCAACGAGTTCCACAGCCCTCCCCGTCGCCGTCGACGGAGAGACAGAGGGAATGGCGAGAGAGAAGAGAAGGGAGAAGAGAGACGACGGCGATGGAAGGAAAAAAATACTGAATTCCTATTTAACGCCCTAACTTTTTAAAAATTTCGCCCTAAATTAATTAAACAGACAATATTACCCCCAATTTCTAAAACGGTCGCCCCCATCCCATCGCCCTAATCCCTAATTTGCTATGTTCCTCGCCGGCGGAAGGAAAATCCGGCTCGTGAAATTCACTGGCCGCTGACGACTGAGGACGCAGAACCGCTGGCCGTCTCTGCTACTGCTGGGTTCTTTTATCGTCGGGTTTGATCATCTGCCAATCGTAAGTTCTCTGAATGATTCAACTATGTTAATTCGACAAGTAATTCGTTGACTTCCCCTCCCATCTTCCCGATGATCAATTGATTCCGATGATGTTGCTATAGCCCCGGAATTGGTCGCCTCGCTACAGGAGAATCAGAAGAAGTTGACTACGGCTCTGTTGGATAAAGCCAAACAAATTTGCTCTGCCCACGGAGTAACAACTGACTATCAAACCTTTTCCTTTCTTTCTTCCTATTACTCGATGTGATAAGATGGTGTTATCCAATCAATTTCAGGTTGAAGCAGAGACAGAGTCGCAGGTGGGGGATCCGAAAGAAGTGATATGTGAAGCGGCGGAGAAGCATGGTGTCAAATTGCTTGTGCTGGGAAGCCATAGCAGGGGACCTATTCAGAGGTAAGTTCTCTTATGGAATTGTTATTATTCGCAGTGTGTTTTGTGCTGTGTGGTTGGGTTTTGTAGTAATGGTGGATCTGTGGTGATTGGTGGGCTTGGCAGGGCGTTCTTGGGAAGCGTTAGCAACTACTGTGTGCACAATGCGAAATGCCCTGTTCTTGGAGAAGCAGAGAAGAGGGTCGTTTTTTGGCGAAGGGTCGAGAAGGGCTGAGTGGTGGCGGCTGCTAGGTTTGATTAAGGCTTAGGTTAAAATATTTATATACTATGAGTTTTAAAAAGACGAAATCGACCCTCCCCTTTCTCTGAAACTAAAAAAGGCGACGTTTAAAATGGCGTGGACGGGTTTCGATCCCTCGTATAGTGGAACGAATGCACCCTCTGCTGGCAACTAGGGATGGCAATGGGTCGGGTCGGGGACGGATAGTGCGTATCCGTTACCCTACCCAAAGTAGTTCGGGTTTTACCCATACCCATACCCACATGTGAAACGGGTAGAAAATTAAAACCATGCCCATACCCGTTCGGGTTTCGGGTATCCACGGTTATTCATGGATAATAATTTCTCTTCATAACTCCAACCAATATGTTAACATTCACACGTACTCTCACATTACGTAAGAGGAAAAGTACGACAATAGTTCACTAGAATGAAGAAATTAAGTAAAACAACACAATTTCATGAAAATATTATATGTATGTGCTAAATATAAAATATGTTAGAGAAAAATAATAATTATTTCTAGAGAAAATACACATGGATGCGTATAATCGGGCGGGTTCGGGTTGGATATTAGAAACCCATGCCCACCCATTACCACTAATATTCGGGTTCGGGTTTTACCCGTACCCACTAAATGTCCTTCGGGTTCGAGTTTTACCCTACCCGATTAGGCCGGATTCGGGTGGATATCCACGGTTACGGATATTTTTGCCATCCCTACTGGCAACTTAACCAGTTGGGCTGCTGGCCCATCATGCATCAATTTAATCTTCCCGTTTAAATTTATAATTTGAAATCCTTAATACGAAAATGTTGCACGCAGATTAAGTTTATCTTACTTCTTCTTCCTGATACCAAAAATCCTTGAAATAATCAATTTAAAATTATATTAATAAAATCATAGTATGAGAATCACGTTCAGTGGAACGTGGTAAAAGTTACAATTAAATTATCAAATTCCTAAAGAACTACGTGGACTTTGATCTCGTGATACGGGTACGTAGGCAACCGATAAGGTTCGAGTCCAACTAACCAATTAATTTTATCTTTAAATTGTACGTCAGTGGCCGTATAATTAAATTACAAATATTACGATAAAATTATTTCATGGTCCAGTGGGACCCTGAAAATACGAAATTATTACTAAAAACACACCCAACGCATTTAAACTTATCAGACTTAAGTAGTACCGATTTAGGGCGTTGTGGGGGTGTTGCTTAACTTCCCCACACGTAACCGCACTCCCGAACCCAGAACTTTATTTTCGCAGACCATATCTCGGTTCTGACCCTAAAGTTAGAGCCGATCTAATAGTGTTCGATCCACTCCAAATAAGATCGATGGTGACCCTCCAAAAATGCCAACGCGGCCCCGACAACCCCGGAGGGACGGTTACGACAGGTGGAAGCCATAGTCATCGACACCCATTGTACAAACTCCAAACTCTCAATCAATTGGCCGGAAAGGAGTATATCTGGCTTTCGTGATTCTAAATTTCTAATGATTCTGCTTGGAGTCCGGCGAAAAGAGCGACTTTTGCTCAGGGGACCGTAAGGTGGTAACTCCAAAGTTTATTTGTTTTAACCATTCGGTCTATGTTAATCACCTCTCTAATTCTTGTTCCGGAACAAACACCCAAATCATGGAGTCCATTCGCCTTTTCTCGTCGACGGATTCTGAACTCTTCCGTTTCAACCTCGTCCAAGAAAAAAAAAGATAGAAGAGCCAAAAGACGCAGTAAAACTAGGGCGATGAACAACCAAAAAATTTAAATTGAAAAAGGATAAAGAGGTCATTTCTACTTTCAAGTTAGGGCGATTACTATAGAGCTAGGGCGAGAATTAGCAATCTCCATAATAAATCACACCTAAATTCGAAAGGATATTTTATGATAAAAGGGGGGAAAAAAAGAACTGGACACTTGCCTTTCAAGACACTCGTCTTGTTCCAATTTCACTGGGCCAGAGGCCCAGAGCTCAGAAGGATCATTGGCTGAACAGACCTTCTACTGATACAACGAGACCTAGCTGTCCCATTTTCCTCCCTTGTTTCAATTATTGGGTTGGGCCGAAAGTCTTTAACAAACTTCTGGATCGTTCTCGAACAGTAGAAAAATAGGAAATTAGGAATCCACAAGAAATGCTAGCTAGTATATGTCGCCTCATCGATTTTCTTCCCCAACAAGATTCCAAGTTTTAAAGAAGAATTGCTAATTCCGATTCAGATCATTGACGCCGTTTCCCACCGCTCTTCCGAGTTCGCACTGAAATTTCCTCCTCCACCGCCGCCGCCGTCCAATGTCGTCTCCGGGCGAGTAAGCTCCATGTCTCTTTCCTCCTATTTCGTTTTTCTCCGCCTGATTCCCTTCGCTCCGCTTGAATCTATATGCCTTTTCCCGAATTCAGAGAGAAATTCCTATCCTGAATGCGATGGCTTGCCCTAATTTCGGAAGTGAATTTCTTCTGAGAAGAGTTGTGTCTGGTAGAAGATTTTACAAAGTATAATTAGTTTGGTAGAGCGGGGTTTCGATATCGGTGTAAGCATTTTGTGGCTCACGCATGGCTTTTCTTTGAGGTTTCAGGTACTACCTTTCCCTTCCACCGATCATCAGGGCTTATGGCACCGCGTGCCTGGCGGTTACTACAGTCTGTTCGCTCCAGCTGCTTCATCCGGCGTATATAGCATTGATATATGAAGACGTGTTCTACCGGTTACAGGTAGGTATTGTTTAGCATCTTCGTTTTTCAATTGAAGCTTGGCTGTAAGACTCCCTTCTGATTGTGGCTGTCTGTTTCCCTTTTCTAGGTGTGGAGGCTTTTTACTAGCTTCTTCTTCCTTGGGAAATTCTCCATCAATTTTGGTATTCGCCTCTTGATGATGTGAGTGATCGTTCTGAAAGATGGATTTTCTTTTTAGTTTTGGTTTATGCTCCAGAGATCCTAACTTTCATGGAGCTTTAGCTGTGGTCTCTGGTCTGTGATGCTAAACATGTAGGCTGAGTATTATGTATTAGTAGAACTTTTCCCTAGTTCTGATGTGTTTCAAATCTTTTACAGAGCAAGGTATGGTGTTCAACTGGAGCAGGCAACATTTGACAGGCGTACCGCTGATTTTCTCTGGATGATGATCTTTGGAGGCTTGACGCTTCTGGTATTTTACTGTGTGCCTCTTTCTTTCTTCTGTTTTAGACTCTAAGCTGGGTGTCGATGGTTGCTGAGTACAATGTTCTTGTGAACTGGCAGAATGTGGTAATGGAGTTGTCTGGAAATGCACCTCTGTTAGCAAAATTCTCTTGTTTGTTGCAAGTATTGTGAACTTTATGACTTGTGGCTTCTAGGCACTGAACTGCAGTTCTCCCTATCGATGTGTGGCTTTCTTGGTTACTAATGTTAATAACAGCTCTTAAATGAATCGTAGCTTCGTTAGCCATCATACATGGGATAACGAGCATTTCTCTGCATCACAGGGTCTGTCTGCTATCCCTTTTCTGTGGAACCCTTTCTTGGGCATTTCACTTGTGTTCATGCTGCTTTATGTCTGGAGTAGGGAGTTCCCAAATGCTCAAATCAACATGTATGGCCTGGTGACCTTTAAGGTAATTGCCAATATTGTGCCTCCATGTAGCAAGGCTTTTATTATTCTTGCATCTATGATGCTGATCTTTCAGTTGGTAGACTCTTGCCTATTATATGCGAAAGATCAATCAAAGTTCTGTTTTTTGTTTCTGTTCCTCTTTAGGCATTTTATCTACCCTGGACCATGCTTGCCCTTGATGTTATTTTCGGGTCTCCAATTTTGCCCGACCTTCTGGGGATCATCGCCGGTCATTTGTACTACTTCCTAACGGTGTTGCACCCACTCTCAACTGGGAGAACCTATCTGAAGACCCCTAGATGGGTGTATCCTTTTACATTGCTTCCTTCCGTAGTTGTATTATATATATCTAATAATTCATCTCAAGAGTTTGAATAATCTACATCGACTGCTATATGCTATGACTTTTCCTAAGCTGTTTATAGACAGAAGCTGGTGAGAAGATACAGAATAGGAGCACCAGCACAAGTGAACTCCCGAGCGGCGGTGCAGCCTGAGCAGCAGCCTGGCACTGGAACAGCCTTCAGGGGAAGATCCTATAGACTGAGTGATTAGTGGGCATGGTTAATCTTTCCTCACCATTTTGTTCAGAATGTTGATACAGAAACTAACCAAGGAAGAAAGTTATAAAGAGACTTGAAAAAGGAGTTATGCTGGGTAGAGGTTGTTGGTGTTGAAGAGAATCAATCTGCTCGTTTATGTTCCTTCACGACTAGCGCTGGGTGGCGTTTTGATGTATCGTCTGTGTTTTTTTTTTTCCACCTGGCCCGAATCCATACTTTGTATAAACAGAGAGAGATGAAGTAGTTTAACATTTGTTGGCAGATTGGCTTTCTTTTCAATGCCTGCATTACCACTCTGGTTGTAGACATTTGGAAATGTGTTACTGTTGTATTGAGCTATAGTTTCTCTTGAAAATCATTGTAACATTCCGAACTTTTTCCCGACAAGATATTGTCCGCTTTGGGCCTTTACAGCTACACGAATTTCGATTTGGGGTGCAATTCAAGGTGACTTCTCATAAGGTCACCCATTCTTGTTGTACTTCACACTGAGCACGTTTAACTTCGGAGTTCTCGCAAGAACTTCTCTATTACATGCCAAAACACGTCTGTCAGTTAAGGTCGATTTCTTACTTATGAACCATGGATCTCTCTCGTGCTTTGTCGATGTGGGACTCGCCTAAGGTGTTACAAACATTTTCTGAGATCGGCATGTAAATATCTCTTTGATCTCTATCAATTCAATTTTAGAAATAGGTTTAGCCTCAAAACTCACATTAAATGTAGTAATGAATGTACCATTGTTGTGGTTGATTTCAACAAGTAGTAGATGTATCTATATCAAAATAGAATACAGTCTAATAAACACTATAATTACCGAAGAAAAATGGGACATATTGTTATTTTTTTGGTTAAAGGACAGATTGGTATTTAAACAAACCAAACCGGACTTTCATGATTCGATCTTTTATTTTAAATTATTATTACTATTAATTCATAAGTTTCACAATTTGATTTGGTTTGGTTCGTACCAGACATAGTTGTGCATCCATACTAGTGATAAGAGGTAACATTGGTTCATCTTTTGAGTTGTCTCTTCCCCCACTCACTTTTGTCATCGTTTAATTGTTGATCGTAGGGGTTTTCTGCTCTTTATTCCTGTTTATTGGCATTTCGAATTAAACTATTGAGAATCTGGGTGAGTGAAATGACAACGGGGAATAAGGATGCAAAGTAGGACTCGTTAACGGTGTGGTTTGATTGTTATGGTGCGAATTGAGAGATTGGTGTGCACACCATCAATTAGACCAAATATTGTACAATGCAGACTAGATAATAGATATGCATGTGAGATCTGGTCCAGTATAATTTGAGCCATAGCTTAAATCCAAGTGAAATGGTAGAGATATAAAGTCAAGTTAACCTAACTTCCACCTTTATAACATAAAACATTAACATAATTTTATCTTGGGATGCTACTTTCTCTACTTTTTGGGAGTGTAATTTATTAGTCAAGAATGCACGATATTTTCAGAATTAATGTTGAGACTTGTGTATTATTGGGGAGCGGGGCGAGTGGCCGAATGAATTGCTAAATCGAACTGAAAAATAAGTTGGATTTACGATTCGATTCGACAAATCATGATCTGCTTCAGGCTAGAAACATCTCACAACATAAACAATAGATTAGGCAAAAGCATTTTTAATGATCTAAGGTCAGGAGTCAGGAGTGAGGACCTATCCTAGGCAGTTTAGTCCAAGATTTTTCTAACCATCTGATCTGATCTAATCTATCCCAGCCTAATGCATATTGTCGTAGGCAAGAGCGGTAATAATGGGAAAACAAAACACGAATGGAGCAAACATGAATTCCGGAATGACATTTGTGGAGTGAAAATATTCGTTTAGCTAAAAATGATAGTAAAACCGAAAAGAAAGGCTTTCCCAAAAATAATAAATAAAAAAACAACAAAGCAAAAAACGGATGGTCCGCAGCCCATTCAAACCTCTCTCTCCGCATCCATCGGCCCCCACCAGCCATCCGAAATTTATTTATTCACAATTTTATTCGACAATATTAATACCTACCTCCTAACTTCCCCTACAAAACGAAATTGTTACACAAGAAAAATCGGTAAAAACAAATAATTACTCCACAGCAAAAAAGAATTAAAACCTCCACTCGATTAAACATCCCCACGCGCGGAAAAGAAGCAAAAGCTCGCACGCGCCGGTGAGCCGGAGTCAACCCATAAAAATAGGCGAGAAAATGTCGTGGCAGACTTACGTCGACGAGCACTTGATGTGCGAGATCGAAGGACAGCAGGGACAGCATCTCGCATCCGCCGCCATCGTCGGCCACGACGGCAGCGTCTGGGCCCAGAGCTCCGCCTTCCCTCAGGTAACCCAATACTTAAAAAACCATTCATTAACCCCCATATTAATCGTCCTGATTTTTTTTGCACAATTAACAACCGTCTTTGTTTCATCGATTGGGATTTCGCCGCCGCCGGGTTTAATTACAGTTCAAGGGGTCGGAGGTGAGCGACATCATGAAGGATTTCGACGAGCCCGGTCACCTGGCTCCGACGGGGCTCCACATCGCCGGGAACAAGTACATGGTCATCCAGGGCGAGCCCGGGGCCGTGATCCGCGGCAAGAAGGGCGCCGGCGGGATCACCATCAAGAAGACCGGCCAGGCTCTGGTCGTCGGGATCTACGAGGAGCCCGTGACACCGGGGCAGTGCAACATGGTCGTCGAGAGGCTCGGCGATTACCTCGTCGATCAGGGTCTCTAGAGAGATTCTATCCCTCAAAATTCAGCTATCCACTACCGGAATTTGGCACTATGAATTCAATTTTGCTTTATTAGTCTCCTCATAATATGTATTTTCCGTCGTGTTTTCTTCAGAGGAGTAAAACAGAGTGCTACTCTGTTTTTTCCCTCTTGCTTCTGTTCTTTCTGTTTTCAATTTTTTTTCTTCTTGTTCTTGGTTACAAGGTTTGCATTTCTGCCCGTTGTATGGGAAGATCGACGGTGCAGGCTATGAAAGTTTTGGGATATTTCGCTCCTTGTTTCTTTTTTAATCTATGTTGGTTCTTGTTGATTTGATCAGGTGTACGCCTCTGTTTTCTTTTGTCGATTGGTATGAACCAAAGCTTTGGAATTTCTGAGTTTATTGAATTTTGTCTCCTTTTTTGGTGATTGGTTCTGGAATTAGTGAATAATATGTCATGCAAACTATTAGACCTGACCTGACCATGTAAGAACGCTCATCTAGAGATTTGTGGGTATTGGTGGGTAAAATACCTCTCATATCACTAAAGTATGAGAAATGGGGATCATATCAATAGGGCGTAGGGCGTCGGGTACCATTAATCTCACGCAATTGTGCATTAGGAGGAAATAAAATATTATTTTTTTAAAAAAATATTGTTTTCTATAAAAAAAGATTTTATGTGTGATTAATTCATGGGGTCGTTTGGATGAGTTATAGAATGTGGTGTGGTATTTGTGTACAAATGATGCATATTTTGAGATTGTGGTATTTCAAAGTTATTTGAAGTTGCAACGTGGTATTTTAATTTTATTTATCTTGTTTGGGCAAAAATGGGTTATTTGTTGGGGTATTTCCTCCGGCCATCGCCTTCCACCGCCTGAAAACATAGAACGAAGAAAAGCATGAGCGGAGGCCGTCGGCGGAAACCCTCAACTCCACATTCGACTTCTCTAAATTGTTGGACAACTTACACACCTCCTTCCTTGCCACTGAGACACAGATAATTCAATCAACCTTCTACATTCCACTTCTATAGAAACCCCCAAATTCTCCATATTCATGCAATTCCCAATACCCAGCTTCCAATTCATGCAACAGATTCAATAACATACAATGGAAACCTAGCTCTAGATTGACCGGCTGCTATCAGGGGAATGCGAAGGAATTTCGCGCTCTGCCCCTTTCAAACCTCCAACGGCTCTGAACAGAGACGTTGTTCTCACAGGGAAGAAGAAGGAGAGTTCACCCGACATCGTTTCACCATCAGCTGAAGCCAGGAATCAAAGCGACACCGCTTCATCATCATCCGGAAAACAGAAGCAATGCGACGCCGTTCCAATGCCAACTCAAGTGAAGGCACAACGCACGTGGAGTGACGTCGTTTCTGGCAAAATGCCACTTAGTCCTCAAACTTGTTAAAACTACTCATTTCCTTTTTCGGCTGTACTTGCTTTTCTTCCAAGCCTTGTCTTCTTACCTTGTTTTGTAAGATTTCTGTACTGACTCTCCAGCTATATAAGCTGTGTAATGGAATGAGAAAGGCAGGGCTTTAGGGTTTGCTTGATCCATAACGTTGTTAGCTGCAATTTGAAGAATAAATAGAAAAAGGAATTCCAAGGCCAGACGAAGCTTCCGCTCGAAACCTGCCACCACTCGCCGTTAGTTGCAATCCACTTTCGTTCGCTGCCAAGGAATCCGCCAAGGCCAACGAAATCCACTTACTGTTTTTCGCCAACGAATTTGCCTTCATCCGTCGTTCGCCAACGAATCGCTGCTGCTTGTCGTTCTCCGTCCGCCGTTGCCGTTCGCCACCAATAAAACTCACCGATGTTGCTTCCGTTCGCCGACAACGAAACCTAGGCTTTCGCCTACTCTAATTGATCTACATGAAACAAGGAGTTCAAAGGTAGAAGAAGAATAGACTGTCCCTCGATCGATTTTGTTTTTGGGCTAAAGAATGGATTATTCGAAGAGAAGAGGAAAGAACGCAGGCGAGAGGAGAGAGGAGAGAGGGAAGGCGTAGACGGCAAGAAAAGGTGGGTCTATGCGTTATTTCGAAATAACAGCACCCCCGGTGGTATTCTAATTAACGCGTTTACGCATTATTTGGAAATAACCCGGTACACAATCACTCATCCACAAAATAAGCACCCAAACGAGTTATTTGTGCCCAAATAACTCACAATGAGTTATTTGTACCCAAATAAATCATCAAAAACACTCATCCAAACGACCCCATCTTCTCTTATGAAAGACTGCCGAGAGCAGATTCTTGGTAATGGTCGTTTTCCTACGACTCTTCCCCTTCCACGATAGTCTGGCGCAACCGCGGTTCCGACTCTTGCACAACAGCACAAGCACAAAAGTTCAATAAATCCCCACGATCGCACAACCATACCCGATGTCGACCCTCCTGTTGATACATAAAATCCCTTACTCACCCTGAACGAAAGCGATGTCGCCGCTCTCCTATTCACTCTGTCCGTCTCCCCCTCTCTTCCTGTATGTGCCAATCCACCTTCCATACCCCCTCTCACCTTTTTGCGGGACAAAAAAAAAAACGGAGAAGAAGAAGACTTGCTAGAAGGAAACCAGCGAAGGCCTCGACCGTCGCCGCTCTTTTTAATAAAAATAATATTTTATTCTCTTCTAACGGCAGGTGGACGGTGTTTTGGACGGATGCACAATTGCGTGAGATTAGTGGTATCCGACGCCCTATTCTTACTTTAGTGGTATGACTCCCCCATTTCTCATACTTTAGTGGTAACCGAGGTATTTTACCTGGCTACTAATACTAGAAGCTGCTCAATTGTCTGCAGAGATCAAGGCTAAAAAGAATGCATAAAGTTTAATTATCATGCACTAGCAAAGATATATCGCAGAACATAAAGAAGACACAAAGTTTTTTTAACGTGATATCGTCCGGAGACACTAGTTCACGAAAAGGATCTCACTTTTAGATTTTAATATTATCAGTTTTCTTAAAATTTGATGACAGCTTGATACGATATTTATAGACCACTAAGTAGCACGTATCCTTGTGGAACACGTCTACATTTATGAGTAGGGGTGTTAGTCGGTGCGGTTTCGGTTTAACCGCACCGAAATATCGGTTAACCGCAATCAAAATTGTCCCAAGATCACTAACCGAAACCGAAACCGACAGAGACTTCGGTTAACCGAAAACCGCAAACATCGGTTTCGGTTTTCCCTTGCGATTAACCGAAACCGCAGTTTCTGGTTCACTTTCTCGGTTTTCGTTCAGAAACCGACCATCCAAAACCGAATTTCAACCACTTTTTTAATGATTCACCCTCAATTTTGAGTGACCTTCTTTTGTTTCAGCCTCTATAATCACACACCATAAAGTAATCTAAATCAATTGAACATAAAGCCTAAAGCAACCACACAATTCAACCACAATTCCACAACATAAAGTCTACATGCCTACAATTCAACCACAAGTCACAATCACAACAAGACACAAATAACAAGTTCATTATCTCCAAATCATCAACCTAAATGATCCGAGGATCTCGCTCCAATTCATCTAGCCCATAGTCATCATTTACTCCAAGATCTTCATCTAGCCCATAGTCATCAACCTAAGGTTCACTCTATCAATTGCAAAGGGGATTTAGAGAGGGGTGACTTTCGAGTTCTAAGTCTTAAAAACATTTGAGACTCTTGGTAGAGGGTTGTTTGCAATAGGTGAGAATTTGGATGTTTGGAATTGCAACTTTGATTGGTTATGAATCTTACAACCTTTTCCCTTAGCCAAAGTAAAAAACCATGTAGTCACACTAGTAGGCGGTTATCGGTTTTCTTATCGGTTAACCGCTAACCGATTAATCGGTTAGCGGTTAACCAATAACCAAAATACTACTAACCGAAACCGAAATTAATAAGGAAGTAACGGTTATCGGTTAACCACTAACCGACTTTATCGGTTCGGTTATCGGTTAAAACCGATAACCGACTAACCGTTCATCACCCCTATTTATGAGTCCCAAATTAATATACAAAAGGATTCTTTAGTCAACACTTAGGTAACCAGTTCGTGAAGCGGGAGCGGGAGCGAGAGCGTGAAAGCGTATACTTGAAGAGAGCATCGAAATTAAATTATTTATAATCAATATCCCATGAGTATAATAATTCAAGCATATAATAAAAGAAAAAATTATAAAATTTATTTTTTATGGTAAAAATATAAATTACGTAGTTGTAGCTTAATAACTAATAATTTAATTAATATGAAAAGTCAAATGTTTTTAACTAACAAAAAGAAAAAGAAAAAAGAAAAACAACCCACGTCATCTACACATACTATAATACACCGAAGTGAAAAACGGGAGCCCCATTTCAAATTTCCTGCAACGAGAGTGAAAGTAGGAAGGACATTTTGGTCTTCACAATTACTTTTTTTTTTATTCATTAAAAAGATACATACTGGGATTCGAACCATGACCATTTTAAAGAAAGGCAAGGATCATAACCAATCACACTAAGTACATTTGTTGTATCCTTTTAAATTAAAAACATATAATAGCAGGATGGAAAAAAACTCTTCCCCCATTTCAAATTTCCTGCTCCAGGAGCGTTTGTAGGAAGGGTAGAATAGGGAGTACCAATTTTTTCTCTTTCCTCTGTGGAACGGGCCAACTTACCGTACACATGCGGATTTAAACAGGTCTAGGAGTGTCAATTTTTTTTCTTTATACCATTTTATTTCTCTGTGGTGATAAAATATATATGAAAAGACAAAAATAATACTCTTTTTTATTGTTAAAAATAAAAAATTTAACAATAATCTAATGCATGGTATCTAATGGGCTAACCGCTAACAATAAAATAAAAGAGTTGAATGGGCCTGGCCTACATGGGATTTGGCCATCAAGTAAAACAAATGAACATCATTGGTTTCTCATTCTAAAACAAGCTATTTTCTCTGGCATAATATATATTATGCTATTGTTTTATATCTTAGTGGCTAAAATATAATGTATTTTTAAGTTATTCAATGGTACAACCTCGACCAACCCAATTATTCCAATTTTTATCATTTCAAATATATATTTTATAATTATTTGACATCATATTGATCAAATTATAGTGTGTTTTATAGGGAATCGTTTGGTATTTGTTAGTAAAAAACTAAACATAAAGATCTATTTGGTTATTTTAAACATTAAAACGATCCTAAACATTTTCATTTCCTTTTGAATTTCTATGGTTTTATTCCCGAATAAGTGATGTGCAAATGGCGAATTGTAGTCGTCTCCTTTCTTTCACTATTTTTTATTTTCAAATAGAAAGTTTAAAAGTAAAGAATAATTAGAATTTGCCATGGGTCGGTCAAACAGGCTGAATTTCAAGTTTTGGCCAGTTTGTTTTATGCATTGCAAATTTATTAGCATGTTGATGGAAATGACTT